CAGATCAAGAGGTCCCCAGTTCAATTCTGGGTGCCCCCTATTTAATATCCATCAGCAAAATTCCCAAAGCAGCACTTTCAATAACAAGCATGCTGAAAAATGTGATTATCATAAGATAGACTACAACCTATTCAACAAAGGTAAAGTGTTATGTGCTTCAAATATAGATTTAAAAATGTACATAATCACCTAAGAAACATTTTCATGAATTTAAATTCTCTGACTGTATATGTTATATGACAATAAAAGACTTGCACAATGTGGGGGTATAGCTCAGGGGTAGAGCATTTGACTGCAGATCAAGAGGTCCCCAGTTCAATTCTGGGTGCCCCCTATTTAAACTTGGTCAACATCCTGATCTGTAAAACAAGTACATAGTAAAAAATATTTATCAGTTTTGGTAAATTCAAAAGAATATTAAAACATTTGTGTTGTTAATCTGGACACAGGGTTTTCAGATGTCTGCTCGCTAAATCTCTAGAGTTACTTTGGGGGAAAAAATTTATTTCAAGTATAACAAAACATTTTTAAATTAGGTTAAATAGCTTACACTTTAATCTATTATCTATCTATTACATATAAAGAACTAGAAATCTTAGTAAATATCTGAATTCATCATTGTATATGACAATAACAATGACACAACAGGGGGTTTTTGAGCATTATATTTAATAGTCATGTAAGATCAAACTTTGACTAGACCTCTTCAAAAAGCCTTCAATTGTTTGGGCTTATGTTTTTTGAGCAATTCAGAGATTAGCTTCTCGGTTATGTTTTGGATCATTGTCTTGTTAAATTTGACAAAAAAAGCAAAAACAGAACAAATCTGAAACCTTTTTTTTATAGCATTGTGTTTCACAAATGTACACACTGATAATAGTCAGAAACTGAATGTTCAACGGCAGCCGACACAGAAACCTGCCGCCAAAAATTGCGAGCCTTCTCCACACTTCACAGGGCATCTCATTATCTCGACCCATGACTCCTCATTACCATTACATGTCCAGGCAACAGAAAAGGGCACGACTGTTTAATATTTAATTTCTGAGCTAGAGAATGTGTTGCAGTGTGTTGCGTCGTGGGGACATGGAGAGTCTTATGTCGTGACTCTGGTGCAGAGACCAGCCGAGTAAATCATAGCCTGTCCGTCAGTTATTTCAAATAAAGACAGATCCAGCTAGAAATCCACCAAATAAAATACATCAACCACAAATTTTCCTGTGATTTTTGGTGTTTTATGTAATATGCAGCTGCTTTAGGAAGCCTGTGTGTGCTTTAATGTATACATTCATCTGCATTCCCAAAAAAAAAAAAAAAAAAAAAAGGATTGATTCAAAATCCACCACTTTGTCTATTGTAACAGCTTTCGACTGATTAAAAACAAGATATGCTTACTCAGTGTTGTAGGTCACCGCCCAATGTGAGTCAGGTCATGACACTAAACTTATACTGCGGAAACGGAAAGCTTTTTCTTTTAGTCTGGGATTTATTTGAATAAATAAAGAAGTTGATTTTGGAGTAGCAATTTCTTGATGAATTGTTAATCTTATAGTTCAGGTTATGCATAAACTAAAGGTTCTCCATTTGAACAAGGAGGACAGTGAAGCAGCCAAATTCTGAGATTGTTATTGATTATTTCAACAATTATTAAACGTTAAACACAACATGATTATTTTGGGGTGTATTTAAAGGAGGAGCTATCAATGATTTCAACAAGATTCTTGAGGAGCCAAGTGGCCATAAACCCTCGATTGACAGACAAATGCCATCAGCAGGAATTGCTGGCAGCAGCCGTTGAGCTCTCCAGCTTCCGATGTATAAAATTATACAATATATTAAATGCCAAAGGCTCCGTGTCTGACCTTCAAGATGAGCTCTACTCCTTACCCAAAGCACAAAAGAGTCAGCTCCAGTTTTGCTCACAACTACATATAAATAAACCAACGAGCTCTGAGGGTTTCTGTTCAACAGAGTCACTAATCAAAACAGGAAATGTTCACGTCTGTGGACCAGCTGGTTGTCTGAAATAGGAAGTATGAAGCGTATTCTGAAAATAACACTAGCCCTATAGTGAAGCATGGTAGTGGCTTAGTGATGCTCTGGAAAACTGCAGGATGTGGAGGGTAAAATGGATTCAGTCAAGAGTCAGGAAAATCCTGGGAGAAAATGTCACGCCATCTGCAACGCAGCTAAAGCTTTGATCTAATCACAGGACACTGATCCACCAAAACTTGATTTAAAACGAAGTTATGGGAATTACTAGAATGGCCATGGCAATCACTTGATTTGAACCGTTTTGAAAAAAAAAAGCTTGTCATAAAGGGCTTCAACAATGTCGATAACGCACTCATCATTATGGCATTTTTGGTTTAATTTTGGGAAATAACTAACATTATAACGTTACCTGTAAGAAACAATTTTTTTTGTTCCCTTTTATTTCTTGCTGCATATTTACAAAAATACATCATTTAGAGTTGTGGTTGGATAATTTTGGTACCAATTGTTCATTATTGCCACTTCACACTTGTAACGAGCCACTTGGTGTTTCTAATGGCTAGGAAAAAAAAAAAGAGATCATACAACATCAACTGTTCATTAGCATCAGAAACAGCCACCTGTTGTAATTAATTGGTCCCTTGCTAAGCCCACTGTGTCTAATTGCCTTTATTGTAATGTGTGTTCAGCCAGGGACTGTGAGTGCCATGGACTACGGGCTGGATCGAAGAACAGATCCTAATACAGACGAGGTAACAGGTGAGTCCCCGCATGACCTGCAGGATCATAATTCTTCTCAATCAGCTTAAGCCCAGTAAGAGGCTTTAATGCATGAATGCAGCTGCATAAAACGATGCTTGCTTTCTATTTCCAGTCTACGCTGTCTGCTTACAGTGTTGATTTGCATCTTATTTCTTGTCTTCGCTTTTGTTCTTTTCTCCTCTGCAGGCATTTTCCCATGGCTCTATTTTTTCAGCCCACTGGTTACACCACCAGTTTATACCATTAAAAAAAATCACCATAAATATATATACATATATATAAAAAAAACAATATCAAATGTCTTGTATATATTCTTGTTCTCAGACACAAACACCTGACTACTACGAGAGAATTGTAAGTAGGATTTTGCTCTCTTGTGTTTTCCTCTTGCTTGTGTTTTTGCTCAGCTAAAATTGGTACTTTGTTCTGCCTCGTCTCACCTGTTGTAGATGATCTTCACCCAGCAGTCCATCATGAGGCCCAGAGTGAAGTCATCTGTGTCCATCGGCGCGTAAGACAGCCTCAGATTTATGTTACCTGCACTCTGATGCCCGCAACAACAAATTCACCTTTTAGTTAGATGTAAAAGGTCAAAAAACATATTTATAAAAATGCCTCCTTAAGGAAGTTGAGCACAATTGTCCTTAATTTTTTCCTTGTTCTCATCTTATGAAAACAAGATGATTTTCTTTTTTTTTTTTTAAGATAAGATTTTGAGTTAAAAATCTGCAATTTTTCTTCCATTCAATTTATTCATGCTTTACTTAGCTGCACTTCTGCGGAGCTTTCTGAGTGGTCAGACAAGTAAATTGGTGTGAACTCTTTTCAAGGGTTTAAGGAGAAATCCTCTTATGCTAAATACAATCAATAGGATAACTTAGGTTAGCAAAGTTTGACCCAAAAGGAACACATTACCGCTGCAGCAATGTGCTTTCGACCAAAGTGGAGATGTTTGGCTGCCATGCAGCGTGTTTGGAGAAAACCACACATAGCATGTCAGCTCAAACATCTCATGCCAACTGTAGAGCACGTCAGTGGAGGTGTGATGAAATGGGCCTGTGGTTGTTTTGTAACCACAGGACCTAGGCACCTTGAAGGCACTGAATCAACAGTGAAGTTCTTTACCAGAGGATTCTAGAGTCAATATGAAGCCGTCTGTCTGTTAGACGAAGCTCTTCCTGAACAGCACAGCGATTCCAGACATAACAATAAGTCTGCATCTGCATGTGGTAAAACATTATTTGTGATCTACATCAAACAATGCATCTCATTTCCTGCACTGCAGACTGGTGAAGTACAGCGCCACCTATAGCGGTCACGACCCTTTTCTCTCCAAGTGTCTTCCCAGCAACCCGTGGCTCACTGACGACACGACATACTGGGCCTTGAACATGTCTAAGTGAGTCAGCCAACAAAGACATGTTCTCTAAAAGTCAGCCTTATTCAGCAGTCTGATTTTCCTCCTCTGTGGTTTTTCAATTTGTGCCGCAGCGTGGAAATACCCACCAAGATGCGTGTAGAGAGGTGGACGTTCAGCTTCAAAGAGCTTCTCTCAGATCCTCGAGGACGAGATGATTTCAGACTCTTCTTGAAGAAAGAATTCAGTGGTATGGACTATATTGAATGAGAAAACCCCCCAAAAAACCCAAAAAACGCAGTGTTGATTTGAATACTTGTGTGGTTTTCTTTTCTGGGTGTTTTTAGGTGAGAACTTGGCATTCTGGGAAGGCTGTGAAGATCTGAAGTGGGGAACTGCTGTCGCGATGAGAGAGAAAGCAGAGCAGATCTACAAGTAACGACTTTTTGGGATCTACTGATTGGATTCGAGTTTGAAAGATCTCTCTTTATTTTCCCTACTGCATGAATTTCTGTAATCTTTCAGCAGAAAATTGATTCAAACTGACCATCTCTCATCTTTTCCCAGGACATTTTTGGCACGTGGCGCCCCGCGATGGATCAATATTGATGGAAAAACAATGGAAATCACAGTGAAGGGTTTGAAGCACCCACACAGATACGTTCTGGACGCAGCCCAAACTCACATCTACATGCTGATGAAGAAGGTCAGTGAACACATCAGCAGTGGGGCCTTAGGATGGGCAGTGTTCAATGTCTGCTTAACAGTTGGGCTCTGCGGTATGTTCACAAGACTAGAGAACCTGAGATAATTATATCATTGCAACAAGTAGTTCGATATAGAAGTATGAGTTGATAAAGCAGGAGCAATACATTTGATGACTGACGTCTCATAAGGTAAATATAATTATTATATTTGAAGATAAAGAATGGGTTGGCTTTTCTTTCTGTCTTTCTTTCCTTGCAGGACTCATATGGGCGGTACCTAAAATCTCCTGTGTTTAAAGAAACCTTAAAGAAAGCCATCTGTCCCGAAGAGCACAAATTCAAGTGAGCGACATCTTTTAGACGTTCTTGCATTTGACGTCCGATACTTGAAGAATGTCGAACTTCTATCCACTTAAACTTGTTTTGGAAAATCACATCCATCACTCTCCATTGTCTCCTTTTTCCATTTCCCTCAGTGAAGTCCAGTTGGAGCAGAACGCCAGGAACAGACGGCCCAGTCTTAGCCCCATCATCATCCGGCAGCAGGAGCAGGAGCAAAGGGCCAAGATGGCCGCCAACGCCCCGGTTGACATTACACAGGTCATGAGCAAACTCAGCAAGCAGGGCAAGGAGATGGGTCCTCGTCATTCCAAGTGAAAACACCTCAAGTTCAGCGACAAACATGACTAGCGTTTATGGTTTTTTTTTTTTCCAATTTCTGCAGAGGTTTAGTTTGAGATTGAATTATTTCTTTAATAATATTCATTTCGATCTCAAACTGATGAGAAATGTGAAGTGAAGCTGTAGAGTAAATTCAATGTGACTCATGTTCAAAATGTTGTTAGTTATACAAAACCTTTATTTAAAATAGTAGAAATAGTAATATATTTTTGCTAAGCCTCCTTACTAGTGACATATACTGAGCAACAGTGAAAATGTTTTTTTGTGAGCAATCCTGTTTTAATCAAACTCAGATGAGAAGTTGCACTTGTTAAATTACGGTTTTATTATGCGTGATGAGTAACGACAAGCAGAGGACCAAAGTCTGTTGTCTTATCAGTGAAAGCTGCCATTGTTTCTCATAAAGTGTCCATCGTTTTCTGTTGTTGTTCTGTAGTGCTGCTCTCTGTCTTTCTTTGTCATCAGTCATAAGTGAATAAATCAAAATCACCTCATTTTTATCTGTTTGTGTTATTTACTGTGTTTCAATGTAATCACTTTGTTGCTATGCACGTTGTTAGGATGGGATTTATTCCTTCCTTCGTTTCTTCTCTCCTTCCTTCTGTCCTTTTTCCTTTCCTTTCTTTTCTCTTTACTCTCTCCCTCCCTCCCTTCCTAATATCTTTCTCTCCTCTATTCTTCTTTTTTCATTCTATTTGTTGTTTCTCCCTCTTTCTTCATCTTCTTGGATGTTTTCATCTTTCTTACCCTAATCCACTGTTCTTTTTCTTTCTTTCTCTCCACTTAACGTCCCTTTGTCACTTTCTGTCTTCCCTCATATTGTACCTTCCTTCCTTCCTTCCTTCATTTGTTCAATCATTCCTTCCTTCCTTCATTTTTTCTTTAATTTCTTCCTTTCAACAACTTGACTCAGCTGCTGCACAATAAGATATTTTAAAGGTAACTAACCAGTGACCGTAATTTGTCTGTTTCATAAAATATTCAGCTGTAATAATGTTTAAAACTATCAATTAGTATCAATATCTCTCAGTTGACTCTTAGTTGGATGATTGAAATATACTGGATAGGAAAATTTTGAATTTTCCAGATCCCACACACTGACTCTTCCCAACCCAGATGCCCTCTGACTGTTGTGTCTTGCCCTCTGATCCCACAGCTGTGCCGATTTACCACTCCCGTCCCGCACCTCGCTGTCTACACTGGAATCCCTGACCCACCTTCTGTCACCGCCTCGCCCTCCCTCCCTTTCCTCGCCCACACCCCAGTCTGTCCGTCCCCAATTAGCGTGGCCTTAGACAGCACCTCGGCTTCTGAGCGGCGGATGGAGGCCAGTGACGGTGAGGGCAACACAGAAGTTCGGGCCCCTGAGGGGGGAAACTTGTCCAAGTCTCGAATGGCCCTGTCGCTGCGCCGACTGCTGAAGAGAGGCTGCAGCCCCTCCACCATGTTCGCCAGCCTGTCGCCCAAATGCCACACGGCGGCCACAACAAGTAGCCGCATTCAGCCCATCACACCAGATGAGGCCAGCCAGGCTCCACCCAGAAGAATCGGCAAGTAAGTGGTGGCAAATACAGCGCTCAGTCGAAAACACTTCGACAACGCTTTAGCTCTGGTTAACACTTTAGTTCATGTAGTGCAATCATCGAAGTGCACAATCCACAGTTATGGTGCTGTACTCATGTCAACCACAACAGAAGTGAAAATAGTGGGAAAACATTTAAGAACAAAACAGATAGGGATAAATACACACACTCTTTCTATTGCAATTTTAAGAGTAAGAACTTATCTTTAGTACCCTCCATGCTTCTTTGTATGTGTTAGAAACATTGTAATTAAACCATCTTTTATCCCACTAAGAAGCACTTCTTCAAGAGTATTAACTGTATGAAGAAAATATACAGTTAATGGCAACAAAAACTCCTTTAGTGGCTTTGCTTAGAGAGACACAGCTACAGTCATATGAGAATAATGAACACCTCATTAAACACTCAGTTTATTTGGATCTGAACACCACAAAAACAGAACTGGAACGACGTACAAAATCCTCTGTTCGATATCTTTCAGCTTCTTCCAGATCAAAGTAGACATTCCTCCCGAGTGCCGGATCTACCCCATTGAGTCTGAGGACGAGGATGAGGAGAACAGGCCTGCATCTCGGGACGCGGTGGGAACAGAGGAGATCATTTGCCCCTGGGAGAGTCTTACTCGACAGAACGGGACAGGATGATTGGCTGGATTCATACAGGTGCAACGCCACAGGACTTTTAGGGTGGAACATGTAACACAAATACCAAACAACATCAAGACCTGCAAGAATCTCTCAGTCTGGGACACCAAATGACAAAAACCCTTCAGCATCTGACCGCCTGCTGCTTTGAAAGGTCGTTGCAGAGCTGTTCTATTGCTTACCCCGTTTTCTGTCAAACACCATGACAAAAGTAGCTGCGAAACAGAAATGCTGGTGAAATTTTAAAAGGTAAATTTTTGTTTTCAAAACGAGGATTTATTGGGGTTCAGTCGCCTGGTCCTGGAGTGTTTTGTCAACTTGAAAGAGGCATTTTGTAGGGAGGCTGCAGAAGTGGGGGTGGTCAAGATCAGTCCCAAACCGTGTCCACAATCTGAACACAAAGACCAAACAGTTTTCCAGACCCAGCCAGGTCTGTCTTTTGTCCCCAATCCTATTTCTGGTGTTCATGGACTGGATGCATGACTTAGTCTCGTCTTTGCTTGTTCAAGCCAGGACCTCCAAGTCAAGAGACAGCTCCTGTATGTCTAATCCATGGGTCTCAGTAAGAAAATGATGGATTAATCTTCCAGGGCAGAGTCTGTCTATTCCTCTAGAGGCGGATGGGAGTGTTACTCTTGTCTGTTGTGGTGAAAAAAAAGAAAAAAATCTCCTTTTTTATTTAATAACCATTTACATTCCAATCTAAAGCAGTCTTAAAAATAAGGTAAGAAGCTTTGTCTTTAGGGAGGAGATTAGAGCAGAGCTGCAGCTCTTCTACATTGAAAAAAAGAGTCTGTTGACGTGGTTTGGCTATCTGATTATGATTCTACCAGGACACCTCCCTTTGGCAACGTTTCAGCCATGTCCCACTGGGAGAAGACAATGGATGGATGCATTTTGCCTTTCAACAAAAGCAGAGCTAAGCAGCTCACATGGTTTAGGTCCACAAGACGTAAAAAGTCTGTCTAAAAGTGTTCCTTTAGTTACAGCCTTACCGTACAGGACTGATGTGAGCCCCAGCGGAGCTCAGGCTGGAGGATGGTTTTAACAAGAGTCACTCCAGATGGGGACAGCAGAGTTTACCAAAGTTCAAGCGCTTTCACAGCTTGAACTTTAGCTTTCATGCTGGAACCTTACTCTGCATCTCAAGATGAACTGAAGCCCAACAGCAGCCTTAAACCACATCTCAGTTTAACCTCGAAACTTTCAATAAAGCAAGACAAAGACATCCAAGGTGTTATTTTCAGAATAGCAAGGATAAAGAAGTCAAAAGCATAGAGTACAAAGATAGACATACATTCACTGACATCGTTGTGGGTGTAAAGGAACATTAATTCAACAAGTAACTAAATCTGAAACCCTCGGCGGAGAATAACCAAAGCAGACGGAGACCTGTAGACTCTGCTTCCACATGCTTGTTCGGATGTTTCTATATACTTACTAATGTAGAGACGTTTTCTTGTTCTGCAAGATAGATTTAGAAGCCCCTGTCTATTAAATTATCTATTTTGTGAAAAAACAACAACAACAACAACAAAAAACTGAGCCAAACCAGTTTGGGGTAAAGTGGGAACACAGGGACAGCTTGTACAAAAAGATATACAAGCTGTCATATAAAAAGTTACACCCTCTTTTAATCCTAGGGTTATAAATAATCTGGTCTTCATCAGGTTTTAAAATGATAAATCTAACCTCAAGTGTATAAAAACAGACAACAGCTTCCATACTGCCACTATTTAATAAGCAAAGATCAAGTCTAAAACGGAGAAGCTGTGTGTGGAAAAATAAACAAATAGGAGTTAGATTTTCTCATTTGGTTATGGAGGAATTTTGGCCCCATTTTTCTTTGCGACATTGATTTTGTTGTTTGAAGTTTTCAGATGTTTGTATCTGCACAGGTTTCTTAGAGTATCACCACATTATTCTGCCTTACGATTCAGTATACATCAACGATTCAGTTGTAGATTTGCTGGAATGTTAAGGATCATTTTTGACTTTTGATGGCCCAGTTTATTCTAAACTTCAAACAGGTCTAATCTTTGACTCTAGACTTATTTGGTTGGAGAAGAGTTTGTGTTTGACTCAGTGGTTTTGAAGTGCAAAACAGGTCTAGGCCCATATTATCACACTTCAACTATGCTTGACAGTTTTTTTTATGAGAATATTGTGCATTCTGGTTTACACACATTGTATCCTCAATAGGGCCTTTCAGGTAATAGTTTCTACAAGAAAGGTTTGACCTGCAAACCCCTGTTTATGAATACTTTTGTCATTCATATAGCACAGGCTGATCTTGCAAGACAAACAGGTAGATGTTGTGTTCCAGAGCATGATGTTGGAGTTGTTGCTCAAATAATCACTTCTCCATCACCATGTATTTGATAGAAAATGAAATGAACATCTCTCACAAGATTGAGTTCTTCCACTATAGTGGAATTAGCTCCAAGTCTTTGATGTGCGATAGAATCCCTGTCTTCATCTTAGTGTTTAACTTTTAGACGAATCCCATTTGATTCAGGTGTATTCGAGAAGGGATGCATCTAGAAGTTGCAGGCGAGTAGCTCCTGAAAGTTGGACATGTCATGCTGCTTTTTTCATTCAACACTCTCAAGGAAGCTATAGATGTTCCCTTTTATTCTTGCTATTCTCTCATGAATTTTCACATTCAAAATTTTCACTGAGGCTTATATGGAGCTCTTAGGTTTTGGGCTCTTCTGCGTTTGACCAGCAACTTTTAAGATATATCTTAAAAGTTTTTTCCACTTGGGTGTAATCGCTCTCTCTTCAGAATGATGGAGTTCTTAATGTTTGGAAAAGGCTTTCTGACCCTTCCCAGACTGATGGACAGTCATTACGGATGTTTTTCTGCCTCGGCATCTGCATTGCAGAAACTCCTGCTTTTGTAGCAATTGTGGTAATCAGTAAATTTAATTGCATCTTACTGACCCTTTTCCTTTTCACCTCCATGGACGCAGCAAAGGTGTACTTAGTTTTTCAAACACTGATTTCATTTTTGGATGCATTTGTTTCATAAATGACAATGCCGAATCTGGTGTGTCTTCTTACAACCCTAGATTTAAAAGAGGGTGCTCTTTCTTTTTACCCAGGAGGATGCAGGTTGTAGTTTTGTATTTGGCTCCACTGCTGTTTTGTACCCTCTGTGTAGCTGTTGTGTACCAAACACCAAACAGATCGAGATGTTTATGGTCTCTTCTTTTGGGGAGGGACAGCAGAACATGATCTAACTAACTGAATGTATTATCTTTATCATGTTTACAGATGCAAAAATGTGAAAAGTACCTTGAATTTGTTGTATCTGATATGTACATTCCATAGTTAGTGTCAAGTGCCTCAATAAAAAAAGTGTCTTTTCAACAGTTTGACATCTAATTTTTATTTTTTTTTCTGTCAGGGCTTCCCAGGTCCAATCCTCAAGAACTATTGTTTTGCAACATTTAGATGAATCCCAACGCACCTGAATGAAATGAATGTCTCATTATCAGGTGTCTGCATAGTTAAATGTCATGCAGCTGAGGAAATTCAGTCATTTGACTCAAGGTTTTGGAGAAAGAATGCAACTAAAGTTGCCGGATACCGGATTAAGGCATCCCTGTTTTATTTTGTTCCAACTATCATTGAGTTGTAATGATTATGTATTACCACTAGGTGGCAACATAGAGAAGAAAATAAACACATATTGTTGCAAACAAGGACAGTTCAGTTTATTCAATAAAACAGAATTATTTACAAAAATCAGTATAGTTTTTGGACATGTTCCACTTTTTTATTTACATTCTGCGAATTACCAAGATCTTCACCTTGCGCATCATTTTATTATACAGACAAAGAGATCCCAAATTTCTTAACCATTTTTTTTTTTTTTTGTAAAAGTAACCTAATATCCAGACATATATAACTGCGATCTTTACACATGCCTGTTTTTTGCGACCACATTACTTCTGCTGTTTCAGATGTCACCGACTGATGTGCAGAAAGAAGCACAGCTTCACTGAGGTGACTGAACAAAGACTGGAGCAAAGCTTTGATCTGCCTCTGTTTTTCATGGCGTCTCTGAGCTCAACAATCTGATTGCTCCTTTTCAACACTCACGGTGGGACATTCACACAAAGTCCACTGATGCATTAGCCCAGCAAAGAGACAGAAAAATATCCAGGTGTTCAAGTGTTAAGAAGCATTTCTGGAGATGCATTCACACCACACATTTTAAGTTGTAATATGAGGGAAAAAGAAGTATACATGCTTATAGGTAAATGTATTTGTTTATAATCTCTAAATTTATTTGAAATCATGCAAAAGGAAATAACAGAAAGGAATAATTTAAGGAATTAGTCGTAGAACAAATCATAAATCAACAAATTTTAGATTCATGGGAACAATTTGCAACAAGAACTAACAGCATTACCGTCAAATATATATTCATCAGTTGGCTCCAGTTTTTCATCCATCAAGTCCTGAGCTAAGTTGTCTGAAATCAAATTTTTATTCATTAATAAAATCTTAAAGAGTGCTGGAAAACGCATTTGTAAGCAGTTAAAAGCGGTTTATTTTATTATTTGTATTTTGTTTGCATTTGTAGGCGCATATAGCAAGATCCACATCGCAACACAGTGGGAAAGGGACACATTGTCTTTAAAGTGGACTTCCTGCAGCCCAGACAAGCATCCAGCAGCATAGGAGTTGAACACATTACACTCTCCTCTGTCACTTTGAAGAAAATATTTAATATATTTAACCTCCCTGGCTCAAATACTTACATAAGAAGATTTAGAAAACATGTGGAACACAATCCAACATTTCACCATCAAATATGAACTCTGTCGATACAGACATGATGTTCGCTCTGCGTGACCTTGCCCTGACATGATGAATGACCAAATCAGAGGTGTAATGAAACTCCAGACGTTCTCCTGCTGCTCCCCCGTGATTTTCATCTATATATGTGCGTGTGTGTGCGTGCGTGTGTGTGCGTGAGTGCCCAGAACCTCCATCAGACTCACAGGTGACCCAGTGTTTCTCCCCGAGCCTCCAGTGTTTGACGAGAACAGGTAATTATCAGTGACCTCCTGCCTTATAAAATTTAACAGCGTGAGAAAGTGATGTGAAAGGATGAGCAAGAAGCAACCTTGCAACTTTAACTTCATCTTGATGTCTCCTTACACCTTTTTTCCCCTGGATTCTTCCCTCAAGCCACCAAAGCTCTTCTTGGCCCCTTTTAATTCTGCCTCTGTGTCCCTGAGGACTTTGATCATTAAGTGAAAGTTGATGCAATTCTGCTGTAAACCTGCACCTTTCCAAATGATTTATATTCCTTAAACTTTTCCCAAATTTGTTAGGTTATAACCACTAACTTCAAAGCGGTCTTAATTCTTTAAAAGCCACTAAAGTTATTGGGGATTATTCTGAACTTTCTCAGTAGTTATGCTACTGTATGTTTGGGCCTTCAGATATCTTATAAACTACATTTCCTTAGTCTTTTCTATTAAGCCACATTTGTGCATTATTAGTGTAAACGCTGTAGCCATTCACAATTTTTTCCATACACTTTTTGCCAGTATACTACTTCCGCATACTTTGTGCTATTTCAACCATTCCACTTTTCCCATATTCATCTCATTCAGGACATTACGACTATGTCTTTTGGTATTGATATCTTCAGTGGTTTATGAAATATTCAGCTTTTTGGGATCATCTTGGGCCCAATTGAAATGAATGGAACATCCCATAGTTTATGAAAAATTCTGCTAAAAAGTTTGTGCTCTTTCACATAACTGGCATTTTCAGTTAGAAATGCCATTCAAATTTTAAAATGTAGTCACATCCTTCAACTTCTTCACTTTATATAAGCTTTTATATCTTTTACAAATTTCACAAAATCTCTCTTCAAGTTTTTGCTTGCATTATGCTCAGTCTTCAGAAAACAAAAAAACATAAAACATTGGCCCACTACCTCTGAGGGTTCCCAAACTATCCTTAATTCAAAAACTTTGTGCAATTGGAATGCTCCTTTCAACCCTAATCCTAACCTACATGCCCCTTATTTCAGCATATGAACAGATTTACACTGTTCTAGATGAGCTAAAACTTTTTCTTACTTTTTTTATTCTTCAACATATGATAAGCAGAAAGTTTTGCTTTGAACAAAGATTGCAATTTTTTTGTGTTGCTTATTATGTTCCTGCTTTTTTTTCACTCTGCATGAAGTATGCTACTGTAGGTCAAGATGCTGGTCCTAATCTAGAGGCTATCATTAGTAATTCAGCTAACTTTGGCTTTTTAACAGCTTATAATCTGTTGAGATCTTAAATTTTAGCATTGTAAACTTTGTTCTGCACAAATTTCTATCGTCTTTTTTGCATTGACTGAACGTCTTCACTTCACTTCTACAGTTTTTCTATTTGCATGTTTTTAGGCTTTTGCTTTATTATCCTCCTTCTGCCTATTTCTTGCATTTCTGCAAGTCTGCTGCAGCTGACTTCAGATGCTTCACTTGAAATATTCAGTTTACAGCATTCAAACTGCATTTTCTGAAAATTGCAAGAAATGCAATTTTCCTACTGGCCTAATTTTTCTGTTCTCCTCTCTTTTCCCGTTGAGGTTACGCCTGGCCCTTCTTCCACTCATCTCCCTCAGAAATAAAAATTTCACCCCACAAAACTAAAGCAAATTCGAAACATGAACGAACGCACATAAACTCATGCAAGCCTATCGTTTGTCTCTTGAGGAACGATATTAATATCTGACACATTTCGAAATGTCAACCAAACTCAAACAAGGTGCACAAATACCTAATTTATTTATAGATCTGACACCTCTTATGTCTCTTCGGCTCTCAAGCTATTTCTGTTTTCAAAGAGTGTTTTTTCAGCGAGAGAGGGTGGATGAAGAGGGAGATGAAGACTGACAGACAGGTCAAATGCAGGGAAAGGTGTGTGGCTAAAGAGATCAGCCAGCAAAGCCCCTGAGAAGTTAGTATTTTAATCAACACTTGGGGAGGGGAAAAAAAAAAAAATCCTTTAAGACGATTCTTCCACTTGTGACACATGAGTTGTGATCAAAGACTCATGTTGAGTGATAAAAATACCCCAAATGTGGGCTAATCACAAATCTGCATTCAGGCCTGATGGCTGCTTTCTAATATGGGCTTGTGGGGTTTAGTTTCTCCTCCTTCTCGCGTCGGCTTCCTTTGTGTTTTCAGATTCTCTCTCTGTCTCTCTGTCCTCCTGTCTTAGTATTCACCTCCTGTCATGCAAATGTTAGTTCAATCTCTAGAGCTGTTTACTCATTGAGTGATGATTGCCTGTTCAAACATCTGTCCTCGGCCGTGTACGCACCACCACACACACGCACACACGAATGCTTCCACACACAAATGCAAATGCTTTCTAGACATTGAGTGGCATCAGTCTCAATTTAAAGTCTAAATAAACCAGAAGGGTTTGCTCATTAAGTTATTTACATAACTCTAAAACAATTTACAGCAGAGCAGTGTGCTTGACATTTAGAGTGGGTGATTTGTGAATTGCACTTCTATTTATTCTGAGAGCATCCATACCTGTTGAACCCTTTCCACATAAGCTTCTGAATGTTTCAGTGAGAGCTGTTGGAGCCATAATCTGGAAGGAGAAAGTACAGGATTTGACTACACACCATGTGCGCTCATACGATTTCTGACAAAAGCAGCCAAACTAATAACCAAAAGAATATCCCAGTCACAGAGAGCTTCAGAAAGACCTTGAAAAATAAAGTCGAGCTTCTCCTGTGAAAACAACACACGCTGCTTTACATCTGCACTGGTCTCAACACACATTCAATGCTGACCTCGTACAACTTAAGGAAACGTGAATGGAGAAATGTACCTTAATAAAAACGGGAAGACGAAAAAAAGTGTGGGTGTCCAAACAAGGCAGTAGTGTCCAACACAAAGCCAGTGAAGTGCTAAACTTTTAGTTTCAGAGAAAAAAGAAAGAAAAAACTTGGATTTCTAGAAAGAAAGTAAAATTACTAATATGTCCCAGTCAATCAACCGACTTGCATCCAACTCCAGATCTATTAAAAGATCTGAAGATCAGAGCGCACCAAGAGCTCCAGTACCTTCTAGACATTAAGAAGGTTTTTGTAGAAGAATGAGTCAAAATCACACCTGAGTAAGTCGTGTGACAAGTTTCTCAATACATGAGATCTTTTAATACTGTCACTAATAAAGGTGCAAACTCGAGTTAAATGGCTAAAATTAGAGTCAAACTCCCACATAATGTCTTTAGACCAACTTGGACTTTCAGACCAATGACTTGAGACTTCACTTTGACTTGAACCCTTTTATTTGAAAAGCCCTGATATGTTACACCAGATAGAAAGTGTG